AGTTGAATGATCAGTGAGAAGAACAGCAAACAAGACTTCCTATAAAGAAGGAAAGAGGGAGTAGAGCTGTGGTTCTTCAGCAGTTTTTTCATGCCTGGAAGTTCTGGGCTCATAATGATTACAGTTCATGAGCTGTCTTGCTGCTGGAGTTGTTTCTCCTTTGTACTGTTTCCATCTCCTTCTCCCTCTAACCCAAATTCTAAAGGAGTAAGTGTAGGACTAGTGTTTTTACTGTTAAAAGCATTGCATTTTTCAGCTCACTGGTTACAATGGAAATATTTTTATTCGTGTTCATGTAGGTGCTGCCTTTTATCTATCGTGCGATTGGTTCAAAGCATCTTCCTGCCAGTAATATCAGCTTTGTTCACCTTGATTCCCATCCAGACCTTCTTATTCCTGTGAATATGCCTGCAGACACTGTATTTGACAAAGAAGCTCTTTTTAGGTAAGTCCTGGATACTGCATCAGAAGGCTTTAAGTCTACTTCCTGCTGCCTTTGATTACAGTGAATATTGGTATGACTGTGTAGGACGTATGAACAAAAGAGGGGTAAGTCAGCCTCAAGTTGTACCTTCTATCTAGTCACTTTTGCTGAAAACTTATTTTTTTTAAACGAAAAACTTGTTTGTATTTTTTGAACGTGGTCAAATATTTAAGTCACATATCAAGCCATTTAAGACTTAAATGATATACTACTGAAAAACTAAACAAAGTAAATTTATTATTAGGCTAATTAGTAGTTCCTCTGAGTAACAGGACAGCACCCTGAGTGGATGCTTTATGTCTGAAGAGCTATGGTTTTAAAACAACCTTTCTTTCTTCATGATGAAAAATTGACTTTGAGATTGAAATAACATCTCCTGTGTTGACATGGGGAATATGTGAAAATTGAACAAGATTTTCCTGGTGAGATCATTAAGACCAATATTTTCCCCCAACCTTTTCGGTAGGTAACGAGCTGTTGGGGTTTAGCCCAACTGACAACTAAGCACCACACAGCCACTCACTCACTCCTCTCTCCTGGTGAGATGGAAAGGAGAAAAATGTAACAAAAGGCTCAAGAGTCAAGACAAGGACAGGGAGGGATCACTCACCAATTATGGTCACAGGCAAAACAGACTCGACTTGGAGACAAATCTATTTGATTCCTTAACAGTAACATCAGAGAAGATAATGGGAAACAAGGCCAGATCTTCAAAACACCTTCCCCCCACCCCTCCCCTCTTTCCACCTTTACCTCTTCCCTCTGGCAGCACAGGAGGACTGGGAATGGGCGTTGCAGTCTGTTTGTCACATGCTGTTTCTGCCGCTCCTTCCTCCTCAGTGGGAGGACTCCTCACACTCTTCCCCTGCTCCAACGTGGGGTCCTTTCCGACAGGAGACAGTTCTCCACAAACTCCTCCAACATGAGTCCTTCCTGCAGGATGCAATCTTTACCCATCAGACTGCTGCAGCATGGGCTTTCCCACAGAGTCACATGTTTTTAGGGTGCAGCTACCTGCTCCAGCATAGAGTCCTCCACAGGCTGCAGATGCATCTCTGCTCCACCGTCAGTCTCCAGCAGCATGGGGTCCACTCCCACGGGAGACAGTCCCCTACAAACACCTTTGGGCACAGCCACTATTAATCTCTGTGGGCTGCAGAGGGGTCGCCTGCCATCTCACCACGGGCTGCAGGGGAACCTCAGCTCTGGCACACCTCCTCTCGCTCCATCTTCACTGACCTGGTGTCTGTGTAGCCGTTTCTGTCATGTCTCAGCCTTTTCTCCGATGCAGCTGTGCTGGACACGTCTGGCCTGATGAACCTAGACGGTCCTGGCAGGATGAGCTCTGCTCAGCGGGCGGTTAGGAGCTCTCCAAGCCACGACTGCCACATGTTGAGTGGTGGCAGTACAGCCAGGTGCCCCCCTGCCTCCCCCAACTCTTTACGGCAGATCCGGCGTGGCACAGGTTTCTTTGTCCCTTCTATGTTATTCACAGAGTCGCTGATTGGCTCGGCCCTGGACAGAGATGGGTCTGACTTGGAGCCAGGGAAGCTTCTAGCAGCTTCTCACAGGAGCAATTGCTGTAGCCTCTCCCCTGTTACCAAAACGTCACCACATAAGCTCAGCACACAAGCCGCAGAGTGATCTTTGCTATTGTCTTTCTTTTCCAGTTTTAAAATAAGTATCAATTGCTTCAGTGTTATGGTGATTTACAGCGATGACAATATGATGTAGTTGTTATGTAAGTAATTGTATCATGCTAACCGTAGTCAATATTTTTTCTTTGTTGAATGAGTAAGAAGTTTTATGGGCTATATGATACACCTAAAAAAATAGGGTGTTGACAATCAGGGAGGTTGCTATTCTGTAGGTGCTGGCTAACTCACTTGAGTTACTGAGATTATATTTAAAATTTACTTAGAGCAGTTTGCAGTAAAATACTTCTTTGAGGTCAGTTTAAAGTTATTTAGAAGAGTGTTGATGATGCTCCTTGTACTTTCCTCTGTGTGATGTATCAAGAGAAAAAGGACAACAAATCTATGTAGTTTATAATCAAAGTGCCATACTAAGAGTGAAGCTGATTGCACTCTATAATCCTCTAACTTTTTAAATTCTACTGTAGACATTTTTGGTTTGTCTTATGAATAAAGATTTCCCTCTTTTTGTTTGTTTAATGATGTGAACCCACAGAGTACTAATTTCAGATGATTTGCATGGGGGATTTTCAAGATGTGGAAGATGTTTGTTGTGTTCTTGGCCACGTTTTACTTAAAAGGGAAAGTAACAGTATTATTGCCAGTCTTTCTCCGTTCATTACAGTGAATTAAGTATTGAGAACTGGATTATGCCTGCTGTTTATGCTGGTCATATTTCTCAAGTAGTATGGCTTCACCCACCTTGGGCTCAGCAGATCTCAGAAGGAAAGCACCATTTTTTAATTGGGAAAGACAGATCAACAACTACAATCAGGTAAATTGTCTGTTGTTATATGCTAATAATATAAATGCTATCTCTGTATCTTTTCATGGGTGTTTTTTTTGTATTCTTGGATAAAGATGAAAATTTTAATACGCATTTGTGAGTTCCCTAGGACCTAATGTGACTATTTGTGTGAGTGGGTACAGTTAAAATTGTACCTTAAATTCTTTTTTTTTTAAAGTAATTCTAGCTATTCACATTTCATTTCAGCTACCCAAGTTTTAAACAGTTCTCTTCATTAAAGTCAAGGTCTCGGAAAGCTGTAATTTTTAACAGAGGATTTGAGTAACAGAGGGCAGCAGTTAGATCCTCTTCAGTCCTCCCTTATCAGGACAAAACAAGCCCGGTTTCCTCAGCTTCCCTGTCATGCTCCAGCCCTCTAATCACCTTCATGGCCCTTATTCAGTTTGTTGTTCTCTCTCTTGTCCTGGAGGCCCAAACTTGGGTAGAGTATGTCAAATGTGACCTCACTGGTGCTGAATAAAAGGAGAAAACTCTTCCTTTCCCTTGATGATTCTGTTTTTCTCATCTGTTGTTTTTGGTTGGGTTTTTTTCAGTTTTTGTTGGTTTTTTTTAAGTTAATCTACCAGTTAAGCACTGAAACAGGTAAACAAGCAGACAGAGAATTTTCTATGCTTGCATCAAGTCAAAACTTAGCTGGACAAGGCCCTGGGCAGCCTCATCTAGCTTTGAAGTTAGTTCTACTTCAATCAGATGCTTGACAAGAGACTTCCAGATGTCCCTTACAAACTTAATCATTGTATGATTCAAGGATTACAGCCCCTCATAATTCTGCGGGATGCAGTCAATGACAATTTCACATTCACCATATTCACTGTGTTGTGATTTTGCACAGCTTGAATGGACGTTTACAAGTCATGTCTCTTGCCAGCGTATCAGAATAAATCTTTTGAAACAAGTTTAACAGAAGACAGCAGAGAAATGCTTTGTTTTGCCATCTAAAAACACAGCTTTACAATTCTGAATCTAAGGCCTGAAGTAAACCTAAAAAATAAGACAAAAACTAATGCTTTCAGTTACATTTAACCATGAGAACTAGCACATATACAGAAATACTTCATGATGGCTGAATAGGTCTCCCACAGATCCTCTGGTTGCCTTAGCAAACTTGAAAACAACATTTCAAGCTGCTTTTTGAAGATGGTCAGGTCTTTTCTTCAGGTTTTAGACTTACAAAAATAATGAAAGAAGAAAGGGAAAGAATCTTCAGAAATGTGAACTTCCTAAAACTTTTGTTGATAACAGGTGGCTGGATAGGCAATAGTTACCCTAGTTAGTGTCCCACTAAGGGAAGGGCTGTATGTAGCATGAGCTCATGTTGAACACGGGACAATTTTTGAAAAGAGGCCCCGTGAATGCCCCATCGACAAGATGAAGTGATCCAGGCTCTCGCCTTAGCAGGCTTAGGATAATCCAGCCACAAGACATGGGGGAGCTGAGCTTCAAATTTCTGCTGCTCATGAAATTATTTGTCTTTGTGGTTGATTGATGATGATACCTTGTAATAAAATGAGGCCTTAACACAAGTGAGCAGAAGTTCACACTTGTTAAGCTTGTTTTTTAATCTGAACTTATGAGGCTTAAGGTTTAATGTAGTGAAATATGGCTTGAAAATAATATTCTTTAAATTTTCACTGTAAGCAAAGCTTTTAGCATTGGGGTTTGTTTGTTTTTAATTAAATGGATTCCATTGATATGTAGCTATTCATCCTCGAGCTATCTGCTTTCCCCCACTTAGAAAAGGGAATCTGTATCGGTGGTAAAAAAAAGTTAATGCTACCTATTAATTTATAATGTTATACTTTTACTAAATCAATATACATGGGTTTCATGGCAATTCTCAAACACAACTAACAGAATTTTCCTTAAAAAATAGGCAATCCAAGACAAAATATCCATAGCTTTGCAGTCTTGCATGCCATAATATTGACAATATCTTGTTAAATTCTGAATGTTGTCCTTAAAATGAAATTCAATGGCAAATTAATCTTATTAGTGCATAATGTAGAATCTTTTTCAGATCCATTAAAAACCTTATAAGGCTGTCATAAGAAATATAGGCTGAATTTTAATATATTGATTCAGCAATAAAGAAGTATAAAAAACTTCAATTTAAAAACCTGAAGATTAAAATAAATAAGTTTGGGTACACAGTTTTATTGCTTTTGTTACCCATCAATCATGTATTCATTCTTCTCAGAATCCCTTAAGTGTACATGCTTTTTCCTAAGCTCTTTGCAAAGATGTATATTAACTGTGAGTTATTGTCAATTGTAGGGTTACGGGTACAGATCATTACTTTTTAAGTGATGGTCTTTATGTCCCTGCTGATCAGCTAGAAAACCAGAAGCCTTTAAATTTACATGTCGTTCTCATCAATCCTACTGAAGCATCAAGCAGGCAGGAAGAAAATGGCAAAGTAGCGTCTGCTAAGAGACTGAAGCTAGCTACAGATGACATAGCAAGCACTGCTTCTGCCTCTTCATCAGTGGCTCCTGGTGACCTTGATCACAGCACCCCAAGTCTGAAGAAGAAGGAAGTACAAAATGCAAGCGCACTGAACAAGGCAGAAACATTGTCAGAGTGTTCAGCTTCAAGCACTCTCAGAAACAGCGAATGCCCAATAAGGGAAGTTGTTGAAGATGTCTGCCAAGTGTTGCAGAAAGGGGACGCGTATGTTTTAGACATAGACTTAGACTTTTTTTCAGTTAAAAATCCATTCAAAGAAATGTACACACAGGTAAGCATGACAATCGAGAGGCCTCTTAACCATTCACAAAAGAGTCCTAGCATTTACATCTATGGAGAAACTTTAAGCTAAATTAGCAGATCATGATTAATGAATCATGGTAATATTTGAAGGAGATACATTGTAAGGGAGTGTATGCTCCAAAGAAGTACAGCAACTTAATAGGGTTAGATCCTTGTATTTGAAAGAGGTATTGAGCGCACATTCAAGCTCAAGAGTGTATGGTTCACTTCTGCTTTTTGCTTGGGACATAAAAGCTATGCTTGGGTTTCCAGAAGTACTGTTCCGAATACCCACAACAAGGTTCGTCAGGGACAGATGACAGATTGTGTAATTTTTTACCCCCAAAGAGTGGTAACTTCTCCTGATGAGAGACTGTTACTCTCATTTCCTTTGTCTGGACTGCTGAGTATAAGGGTCAGCAAGCAGGTGTTGTCTCTGACGCCATGGCTCTGAGCTGAAGACTCTGCCTTGTATTCCATTTACAACTTGCCTGCACAGCAAAGGTAGCTCACCTCTATAGAGTCATAAATATGTAGATCCTTGAAGGTGCAAAGCAGTTAGCAGATTTTTTTGATGTGAACAGGATTTTTAGGAACTAACTAATCTGCTCTGAAAATTCGCCGTGGCATTTGGGTTTACAAATTCTTCTGCAATAGCCTAATTGTCTTTAACATTTAAATCTCTCTTTAAGACTGTTTTAACTTCAGCCTGTGCTGGAGAACATCTGACATCTTTGAGTTTCAGCTAGACTACTGCTTTCTTGTTCACTGTAAAGAAGTGAATATAGTGTCCCTGACCTCTGTTAGCTTCTAACATTCAGTATGTATGATCACAGTATCTTCAGACAATGTGCAATGCCAGCTGTTCTGAATCACAGAGAGAAGCGTACAGCCTTTGCACGGAAAGCACCGTGGGGGTCTTGCCATATAAGAATAAAATGCAATACCTCTCTTAGGTAAAATATGTTCTGATATTTGATACTGTCCCACACGACATCCTTGTCTCTAAACTGGAAAGACATGGTTTTGATGGATGGACCACTCGGTGGATAAGGAATTGGCTGGATGGTCACACTCAAAGAGTTGTGGTCAACGGTTCAATGTCCACGTGGAGACCAGTGACGAGTGGTGTTCCTCAGGGGTCGGTACTGGGACCAGTGCTATTTAACATCTTTGTTGGAGACATGGACAGTGGGATTGAGTGCACCCTCAGCAAGTTTGCAGATGACACCAAGTTGTGTGGTGTTGTGGACACGCTGGAGGGAAGGGGTGCCATCCAGAGGGACCTTTACAGGCTGGAGAGGTGGGTCTGTGAGAACCTCATGAAGTTCAACAAGGCCAAGTGCAAGGTCCTACACGTGGGTCGGGGTAATCCCAAGCACAAGT